CACAAACATACATCCATACATCCATCCATACATCCAAACTCTCTCATTTATAATATTAGTAGGCGTAGGAGGTACTTTCGTGTTAAAGGGAACATTCATTATTATCGATGATTTTTTTATCGATATATCGATATTTTTGTTTACCGATCCATCTATATTGACAACTGATCTTGTTTAGGCTAAAATAGTCTATTATATGGATTAAGAAATGGAACTGTACTAAGCTAACCTAACATAACCAACCAAACTTGCTGTACTATTTAAAAATTCCTTTTGATAACAGAAAAGGCAAGTTAAACATGGAATGTTACACAGCAAGTTTGGTTAGTTTTGTTAGGTTATTTTTTGTAGAACAGTTTCATTTCATTATTGTTTGTTGATACTGAACAATATTTATCGTAGTTGTCAGCTGATATGTTTCAATTTGTTAATATCGATATATCGATAAAAAAAATCATCGATAATAATGAATGTTCCCTTTAACAGGAAAGTACCGAGTAGGGTATATGAATTTGAACGGATGGTGTTTTTGGCCTCTGGGGACCTCAAAACGAAAAAGTAAATCGGTCCCGGGTCTAGGTCTTACCATGAGACCTACGGTAATAGCTTATTCCCTATGTGGGAAATTCGCTAAAAACAGATATAATTTTTGAAATAACACTTTTTTAACACATGGACTGTTCAAAATGTAACAGTACTATTATTCATGTCGTTTTTATATTGAGAATATTGTAGTTGGATATAAATGATGAGCAAAACTCACAATATGTGTAGAGTTTGATGAAGCGTCAGCATCGGGTGTTGACAGTTTGACGGAGGCTTCTGACAATGACAATATTTGATGCCAATACTTGGACAAGCGTAGAGTTTTTCATCTTTTATAGACCTATGAAAATATCAGGTGAAAATGTGATTCTGATTCAATTATTCAAATCATGTTTATTTTAGGTTAAACAGTACAGTATATTTATTTACTTACTTCTTACTTTCTTTTATTGTTAAATGGTTAAAATAGATTATTTAATTAGATAAAAATAGCGAAGTAAAAGAGTGTGCCAGAATCATACCAACTTCCTAAGTTCTTATTTTGATCTTATGATTCTGGGTTCTTGGGACCCTGTCGAAGGGGAAGTATATTGATTCTGGAAAATTATCCTACCATGGAGACATTACATCAACAGCTAATTCGTCAAACAAAAATTTGTTGTTCATGGTTTAACTCATCATTCTCTAAAACTTCTATAGTATTTTTTTTTCTTTGCGATGACGATTATAATGGGACACATTACGCAAAGAGGAATCTTCTAAATTACCATTCTTATGAAGTAAATGTTAATAAATAGGAGTACAGTATTTACAGTTATAAGATTGAATACTAAATGTATTTTAGGTTGGAACATACTTTAAACCCCTCATTCTCAAATAACTGGTTTAACAGTTCAACTAAATAAGCGTACTAGCTCACTGTCACTAAACGGAATGATTTATGCTTTGCAATGTCATTTTACAACCCCTGACTTCATGAGAGTCGTACAATGCATGGAAAATGACATTTAGAGCTGTGCCAAAACAATTGATATGAGGTCGAGCTTAAGTGGTTCCTGTATTATTTAACATAAGCGACCCTTTTGCAAATTTTGAATTATAATAGAGGGTTCAAAACTAATCCAATGCAATACTCATTCACACTTCAAAGATTGTGTTTGTTTAATACAGTTATTAGGGGAATAAAAACTACTAGTTTACAAAATATTCAATTTGTTTATATAAAGTCTACACTATAAAGATATGTTTATCCACCCTACCTCAACCAGGTAACAACAATAAAAAATCTTTATCCTGCTGTTTAAAAATACAAACCAATACAAACTGTTCTGTCTCTTGTTTACCATCAGTCTGTGGTTAAACATAATGACTATGGATTAGCTGTCAAATTCCAAATCACATTTTACATTGTTATAAAGGAAGTTGGTCAGCATTACTGGATCTTTTAAAGTGGACTCTAGAAATAAAGGTACTTTCCTGTTAAAGGGGACATTCATTATTATCGATGATTTTTTTCTCGATATATCGATATTAACAAATTGAAACATATCAGCTGACAATTACGAAAAATATTGTTCAGTATCAACAAACATTAATGAAATTAAACTGTTCTAAAATAAATAACCTAACATAACTAACCAAACTTGCTGTAACATTTAAAAATTCCGTGTTTATAACTTGCCTTTTATATTCAAACCCAAACGGAATTTTTAAATGGTACAGCAAGTATGGTTGGTTATGTTAGGTTAGCTTAGAACAGTTTCATTTCTTGTTGTCAATTTGTAATGGATCGGAAAACAAAAACATCGATATATCGAGAAAAAATCATCGATAATAATGAATGTTCCCTTTAACAGGAAAGTACCGAAATGGTAAATCAAATGCCATGGTGGAAGGAAAATACATTAGGTGTGCTATTCCCGTCATGATGACGTCACCCAGATTGCAAACAAAAAAATCACCTGATTGTATTGCCATATAAGTATATTTGTTTTGATTTGATTGTTTTTGTTTTTATTGTTTTTTTCTAAACGGTAAAATTGGTGTTTGCAGTCTGGGTGACGTCAGCATATGACTGGAATAGCACATCTATGTATTCTCCTTCCACCATGATCAAACGCAAGGGGGTGAAACCATAAATATACCTTTTTTGTTACTGTTGGCAGGTGCGCTGGATCAAAAACGATAACTCGATTGTGAAAATTGTTTCAGGCGGAAAACTGAAAAAGCGATGTTACAGAGGAAATCCTTATTGTGTTAGGTATATCTACTATACACATTTATTTCTGATAACATACATTTGACATGCATTTTACAACATTAAATTAACATTAGCGATCAAGCTGTTTGAAGCCAGGATTTTTTTAAAACCAATTTGTTTCCAAGTGTAGTTGTTACTTTTATGAGTAATTGATCTACCAAAAGTACTCAGTTGAATTTTAAAGTAGGTACCTGACTTTAAGTTGGAAAATTAATAAATACCCCGAAGCTAAACAAATTACTGTATAATGTTTTGAGGGAGTCATAAATTTACTTCTTTCCTCGATATAATTTCCCTAATCCTCAATTAGATTTCATTATTGAATTTACAGTTTGACTTTGATTGTGGTTAGGATGTATATGGTTATTACAAAAGTGCAGATATTTTTCAAAACTGTCGATTTCTTTTTAGAAAAATGAATTTGAACTAACCCATTATATTTATTTATATTTTTTGTCTCACAATTATTTTCAAATTGAACTCTTTCAGGATAAAACCCCTATCCTGATAAAGAAAGACAGGTAGATAGGAGCCCATCAACACTGAAGTGGAAGCAAGTGAGGGGGGATGTTAAGTAGGGGGATCTAGGAAGTCTGATTGTTTTAATGAGCCCAGTAATGATCATTAGCTACTTCCCATTTATCCAACAAGCAGGATGTGCTGCATGCCTTATCTTTGTCCATGTTTTCACAGGGTGGTTTTTATCTCATAGCATTGTCTATCATGGATTTTTACAAAATTTTGCATATTGTAAATAAGTGATGAGGAACATTAAGTTATTGCAGGGGAATCCATTGTTTTTTATGTTGTACTCCGGTACGGTTTTATTAAGTTAAGTTGTTCTTTTTAGGAACAAATTCTGACACATCTGTTGCTAGACTAGTTGTTCGAGTTTCACACCTTGGTGGGAGGGGAAGAGTTCGATTCATGGCATATATAACTAGGATTGCTTTCATAGCAATGAAAGCCGGTTGAGCGGAGCAATCATGTTTCATGACTTTTAATAAAGCAATAAATAAAAAAAATATTTTTATAGATATACAAAATTACAAACACAAATGTAAATACAAATACAAATGTAAAATACAAATACAAAATACAAATGTTCCAACACTCTCACTGCTAGCCTTTACCACTTCCTACGTCATGGACCTGTTTCCCCCTTCCTAGAGAATTTTAAGATTGCAGATACATTAATCTAACTGCCACAGACGGTTCCCACACACCGGACTGTTTGTTTTTACTACTTCCTTCACAACTCCCCAGTCGTGGACCTTTTTCAGTTTGCTATTTATGAGATGATCCATGTATGTGATTCACTGACAAATTGTTTAAGATAAAATGTTATTTGTTATAATAACCTTAATTAAATACATAAATCAAATTTGTTAATGCACCTAAGAAAGTATGTTCTATCCATGACTGTACCTATTCTATCAGTGGTCGTTTCCAAATTGCGACTTAAATGTAAATCTAAAACTATCTCTGTGGTATTTGATTAGTTTTGTCATCATCCAAATATTTTTCCTTGTTTACTGTGTTCAAGTCGTGGCTTGATTTTAACATATGCAATGATTCATTGTTTTGTTTAAAATATACATCCTTATTTTGTAACCATCATGGTAACCCATAAGACCCAATGTTAAAATTCAAAAATTTTGGGTTACTTTAAAATTATATAGGCATTATAAAAATAAAAATTGGTTACATCTAAGCCATCCAAACATTTGACAAAACAACCTTGGTAAGTTTGGCTATAATATATGTTCAGCCGTTATTGAAATTAATTGTTATAAAGATTGCATTGAAGTTAATTCCCAAAAGATCTTTGCTTTGCTCCCCTCAATCAGGTACCTTTTTACCATTTTCTTACAAAAATCTTTAAAAAATGCTACTGGCATAGAGAAACGCTAAAAGAAAAAAGTATTTGTAACTCCTTCATTGGAAATACCACTGGAAGATTTTTTTAGCAAGGTGAAAATACAATATTTTAGATTAGATCTTAATCTTATACTAAATTAGTGTGATAAAAATATATTGTTATAAGTGTGTTTAACATATTTATAAAAAAGTGTCTTTCCACTAGTTCCTCCATGTTATCCTGAGCTTACCACAATAATAGTATCACAGTCAACTTTGACACCTTATTATATATTTAAGAACTACATAAAGTAACCATGGATTATTTTTGCAGAGGTTGGCAGCCATGCGGCAGTGAGTCATGGCTAACACCGCACATCTGGTGCGACGTCAGAGCTCCAGAGATCTCAACCCTCAACGCTCTCTGGACCGAGTTGAGATGAAAGAACTCCGCGGCCGATTGGTCCTGGAGAATGGAGGAAACATGGCAAGCTATGGCGCAACAAACGCTGGCTTTGACGATACGAGCCCCGGTGTCAAGGTAGAGTGTAAGATGGCTCTAGGAGATGAGCTTTAGTTATCGAAAAGTAAAATTTTGTATCATTCTAGACACACCTTTCACAGGTGTTACAAACTCTGTTTCCCTAATGAAGCTTGGCTTGTTTGTACTATTGTATTTTAAATACTTTCCCACCTGAGGACGGGATTCCAAATCAGAAACGTAAATCTTTGTTTTAACTAATTGCAGTGAAACATGTCTTCAATAATCTCTTAGATTATGTCAACAGTAGCTGACCATGGTTAGTAGTGGGATGTGGATAGTACAGCTTCAAGATTGAAACCATGGAACTGTAATTCTGAAAGTGGGAAAAGTCACACAGGTGACAATATTTCTGTGGATTTGTAAAACTGATGACTGTTGTAATATTTAAACTAGTTACCAACATTTACATTTTGGAAAAAAAACATTGTTATAAAATAAAGAAATCAATTAAAGCAACTTAGCATTACCTTTAGATATTCTTGCAAGATTTCACTTAAGATTTGTAATCTTTATTCTGACAAAAAAAGGAGATTATGAAGAAGGAAAGGAAACAGTTTCAATCAAAGGAGGTTTGTGAAGTCAAGCGATTTGAGCCAACCAACTGTGAGCTGGATTGATCCACCTCTATATTTGTCTTGCAACCTTCCCGTAGAACATTAATCTCTACGATTATTTACTACATTGTGTGGAGAATTTCATTTATTTATTTGAATAATGTGATTTTTATCACCAGCGGCAATTCAAATAATTTTTGGAGGAAAATGGCCCTAACTCTTGTCTTGTTATTAGCTAACATCGGCCTGTTCTTAGGAAGCATTGTTAACCAAACCAATAAGCTTTTGAGTTCGGTGATAAATCTAAAGTGTAACTCGGCCAACAACATTTTCTTCTACAATCTTAAAGTATAGGTATTTATGATTCTATCTGTAGGAGAGTTGAAAAATACAATTCACTTATTCCTTAATTTATCAGAGTCAGAAATCCCTCCCTATATTCCTAAATAATGCAAATCTTCTATTTTCTCTGTTATATTTTTATAATACTGGTAAGATCTAAACTTATGTCTTGTTACTATATCCATCCCTCTTAGTGTGGTGGCTTAGAGACAAAATCAGCAAGGATCGTGACCTGATGGATTAAAGCTGCAGCTTTTGCACACTTCTTCCATACCCTTAATACAAACAATTTATGGGGGGGTGCCCGATTTTTAGGTCCGCCATCTTGAAATACGACGCCATCTTTGTTTTCTTTAGAGGAATTTAACAAGTCGTTAAAAATGGTCTAATATCACCCAAAAGGACACATTTACGCAATTTTGTACATAACATGTTTTGTTCACAATTAAATTTGCTATAAAATGAGATATAAACCATTTCTATAACTTCAATAGTCTTTAAGATATAAACTTTTAAAGTTGAAAATTTGATATATTCCTCTACGCTACATGTAGTTTTTGCTACATATCACCCAAACGGTCAACGGTACGTATCTGTTATCTGTTATGATATATTTTATTCGTAATTAAATTTGCTACAAAATGAGATAAAAATCTCTAAGGTAGCTTAAATAGTTTTGAAGATAGAAACTGTTAAAGTTATAAATTGTATTAATACCTGTATGCAATAAGTCCGTGTATCTTAAGTACCCGCTCTTTGTTTTGCCTTCACGTATTGCGTTAGAAGACTGCAACTTCACACATCAATACTGGACCTAAAATAGTACTTTATAAAGTACTTCTTGACTTTTTTCCCCCAAGGGGGGTCGGCCCACAAGGAGTTAGTTGAAAATCTTAAATAAAAGCATAGGCCATAATTAAACTTGACGGGATAAAAGTCGAGATTTTTAGGAATACTGTTTCCCAAACGATGTAGTCTTGGTAGCGTGCTGTTGTAGTTATATACTGTAGAATGATATCATCCCCTTTCAAATAGGTCAAATGGGATCAGGATGGTCGTCTGGAGCAGCGAAAATTGATTCTGCTCAGCAGCTCAGGAGAGTCAAGTTCTGCAATGAGAAGCTTTCCCAGGAAAACCAGGTCAGCAATACGCCTTCGAGAACTCAAGTGGTTTAACCGAAGATGCTGTCGAAGATCCTCAATGGGTACATCTCTGAATGGGTGTCCCAGACGAAGTCCTACGATTCTTAAAAAAAGAGCTGCAATCTTTCGATGTCCTGTGAAAGACCAACTGTATAAATGGGGACCATACAGGAGAACAATATTCCAACAAGGGTCACGCTGGCTGACGAATAACGCCCTTAATGCCCACACAGAGAAGCCATTTCTGGATACTCTCAGAATGAAACCAAGGGCTGAGTTCGCTTTCCTTGTTAACCAGTTAACATTATAATCAGGGTTGAGAAATGATGTGAATGATACTCCGAGGTCGTTGACAGAGGTGGATCTAACAAGTGCTTTCCCATTTATTGAATAGTTAAAAGGAGAGTTTGTTGATGTCCTGTTGAATAAAACTACCATGCAATTGGATTCATTCAAAAGCATTATATTTTGTATAGACCACATTGAAATTCCAATGATGTCCTGTTGGAGGCACTGAAAATCTTGTAATGACCTCTCTGTATACTTTTTCATCGTCAGCAAACAGCAATTGTCTAGAATCTTTGACAACGTCAGCCATACCATTAATGAATATTGAAAATAAAATTGGTCCCAGTAGCGATCCTTTAGGGACACCAGAAGAAGCTTCAAACTCACAAGACTTCACTCCAGCAAATGTCACGGTTAAAAAGTGATTCCACAAATACGAGTATGATTCATTGATCCCCAATCCACCAAACTTTGCCACGAGATAAGTGTGACTGACACGGTCGAAAGCCTTGGATAGGTCCAAAAAGACAGAATCGTCATTATGTTTACGAGAAAAGGCTTGTATAATGTCACCATGGTCCAGAACTAAATTGGTCGAGGCAGATCACCCTTTCTTGAATCCATGCTGACAGGGCACGATGATAGTGTCCAAAGAGAAAGAGGGTCTATGAAGTAGAATTGCTTGAAATAGCTTATTAGCCAATGTAGGTTGTATCACCACTGGACGATAATAGACATCAGATGGGCCACCTTTCTTGAAAATTGGTAGCACATATCCATTTTTAAGAACCTGAGGGAACTTTCCAAGCTTCATCAATGGGTTGAAATACACTGTATTATGTGGAGCAATCACACTGCAACAGTATTTCAGAATTGCTGGAGGAATGCCATCCGGGCCGGATCCATTCCTTGCATCCAGATGAGATAAGTGCTCCTCAACATCACGACACGTACCATGAAATTCGGTCAAGCAGAGTCAAAGTCTGATTTAAAAGTAAATGTATCCACTGACTCATCTTGATATGCAGATTAAAAAAAGGTATGGAAAACATTACACATCACCTCAGAGTTTTCAGTGAAATCATCGCAGAGTCGTACTATGGTTGGAGTTGGCTGTCTTCCTTTGGTTCTATTAAAGTGACCCCAAAAAGCCTTAATATACATCATTTACTCTGTTGATATAGTGTTAATATCCAGCTATGTATACGTGTTCATTCGAGTACTGTTTGTATCGCTTACGTAGTCTCACTTAAAAATAAAAAAAAATAAAACATGGGATTACACTTCTCTTGGTGCTCTTGAGGGGAGGAACACATCCTCGCGATCTCTGAAATATATTTACACAGATCTGCAAATTCTTGGTCAACATCACTAGCAGGGTAAGGTAATCTTTGAATAAGCTAAAAATTCCCCTGGGAATTGCATGTTTTTAAGTCAGGGACCATTGTAACATTGACACGACAATTTGTACAAGTAGTTTCAAGTTTTATCTCCAAAAGTGAATGATGCTTTTTTACAATCAGGCTATGCTGCTGTAACTGAAAAAAGATGGCAGATCTCATAGACAACATTGACGGCCCGAAAGCAAGAAGAGGGTTCCATGTCATGCCATTTTGCATATGGCAGATTGAAGTCCCCAGCCAGTAAAGACATTTTTTAGTGGATTTGTCAACCATGATCTCCTCAAAAGTTGAACAGAATTCTAAGTACTGGGTAGCAGGACGATTTGGATGCAAATATACTCCACCTGCAATAAGTGTCTGAAGAGGTAGCTTAACCGCACCGAAAACGTACTCAGTAGAGCAATTTTATAAGCATTTATATGTATTAACCTATGCTTTAATTAAGATTTTCAACTTACTCCTTGTGGGCCGACCCCCCTTGGGGGAAAAAAGTCAAGAAGTACTTTATAAAGTACTACTATTTTTAGGTAACGCAATACGTGCAGGAAAAACAAAGAGCGGGTACTTAAGATACACGGACTTATTGCATACAGGTACTAATACAATTTATAACTTTAACAGTTTCTATCTTCAAAACTACTTAAGCTACCTTAGAGATTTTTATCTCATTTTGTGGCAAATTTAATTACGAATAAAATATATCTCAATAACAGATACGTACCGTTGACCGTTTGGGTGATATATAGCAAAAACTACATGTAGCGTAGAGGAATATATCAAATTTTCAACTTTAAAAGTTTATATCTTAAAGACTATTGAAGTTATAGAAATGGTTTTTATCTCATTTTATAGCAAATCTAATTGTGAACAAAACATGTTATATACAAAATGGCGTAAATGTGTCCTTTTGGGTGATATTAGGCCATTTTTAACGACTTGTTAAATTCATCTAAAGAAAACAAAGATGGCGTCGTATTTCAAGATGGTGGACCTTAAAATCGGGCACCCCCTCATAAATTGTTTGTATTTAGTGAATGGAAGAAACGTGCAAAGTCTCTAGCTTTAATCCATCAGGTCACGATCATTTCGCTAAGCCACCACACTATCTGTACAAAGCATGAATAATAACTGTTTGATTGCACATGACATATGTACCGGTATTTAGATTTTTTTTATAAAGACTGGATCATCCACCTATAACGTTGAACATGCTACAGCTAATTACTAGCAGGCTAGCCGCAATCATTTGCAGTGTTTAGGTTTATCTGCTAAGCTATTCAGTTACTGGAATAACAATCAATAAAAGTAGGGTGTTTGTAATGTAGCTAAATTTGGCAACACATATAAGGAAAGGAATAACTGTTAAATATGAAAGAATTGTACTAAAAAGCTATAATGGAACAAAAATCAATTTAGATGGCATATCTTGTACTTGTTTTCTCTACAATGAATATAAACATTAATATTTACATAGCAAAATAACAGCTGATAATAATTTAACAAACTTCAGACAGTCAATAAGGAAATACGGTACTTACGTATTATACGGAGGCCACTTATTTTACAGCGCGCTGCGGCGGTTGGGTTAAGTTGGGTTATCATAAGTTTTTATGACTCATCTCGTATAGTTCGATTCATAACGAAACTAGAAAAGTTCTACAAACATATTTATGATAACCCAACTTAACCCAACCGCCGCAGCGCGCTGTAAAATAAGTGGCCTCCGTATAATACGTAAGTACCGGAAATACTTCAACATGTTGCTAGCCAAGTGGTCAGTATCTCACACTTCAGTTCAAGAGAGGGCGGGTTCAATTCTGTCAAGACAAATTTGAGGAGTTGGGATCACTTGATGGTTAAAGCATTTAATGATCCAAACACAAATGTCACTAGCCCTATAACAAAAGAAAGTCAAACCTAATGAACACTAATGGTTCCAGCAAGCCATGCTCAAGACGTCAGGTGGTATGGAGAGCAAGCTAGGGTCAAGTGAGGGGAAACCGATATTCCGTCCTGAGGCTGGCGAAGAGGAGAGAGAATCGTGGGACTCAAAACTTACGTTTCTCCTAGCGACTGTGGGTTATGCTGTCGGTCTCGGCAACGTCTGGCGCTTCCCATATCTGGCGCAGAAGAATGGCGGAGGTAAGACATTGGTGGACTTTTTACCAAAAGTAAAAATTGTCAGCATTGCTTTTCCTACTTCTGGATTTTTAATTTATTGATAAAAATATTTATTTACTTTGAAAGTTGTTGCAGGTTGCAGTACAACATGTTTCATTGCAACTGCCACATATTGACGTTATTCTTAAGAGGGTGTATATAAAGATGGAGCAGTTGCAAAACATGAAGTACTGGTACTGAAACGATAAACTTAAGACTATAGGGTTAGTGATAAGAAGATAACTTAAGAGGACACAAGCTGGCAAAATGCATAGGGCAGCACACATCTTACCCACTCAAGAACACAGGCAACAAAAACAAAGATATTCTAATATAAATCAAGTTCTTCGACCTGGGACAGCAAAAGAATATATAATGATAATAAACACTCATAAGTTAGTTTTGGTCCATTTATCAAAGGGAATAAATCCAATTCTTCAATACGGCAATTTTTAATTTTGATACCAACCTAAAATTACTTATTTCATCCAATTATTGTTTACAAATTTACTATCCTTTTATAATGTGTTTTCAGCTTAACAGAAACAATACTTTTTACTTTTTTATACTTTTCTTTGAAATGGCGACCATACAAAGTAGGTATTTTAAGCCAAGTATGAATGGAGATGAGTGTATAATGAGTGGCGCGATCTTGTAGTCTTGTTGGTGACTAAGGCCAACAATTGTTTTAATCACTTTATTTAAATAGATACATTTTACAAAGCCATAAAAACTCAGTGAAAATCCTGTCAATGTCTAAAATGTCTCCCTTTTCATTGAATGAAAGAACTCATACATAAAAGGACCCAACGAGTTATTTATAAATCAAAATCGATTCAGCTGAAATTACTGCCTAGGTGAACAATTTAGTTACTTTGACCAAGTCCAATTTCAGGAAAGTCTCAACATAATGTTTGAGATTTATTTGCACGAGAAACAAACATCATTTTAATGTGTTACTTGATGGCCAAAGTGACGGTGAAAACCTAATTATTCACGTTTTCATATTTTTAAAGCATATTACTTATGAAATACAAAAGTTGAGCTGTAGGTTTAGAATAGACCATGCAAAATAAATGCTTTGCTCTGTTGTTTTCCAGGATGAATAAAATCCAGACAAAGGATTGAATAAACAATGCTGGTTCTCAGCTAAATAACCTCAATTTGAATGTGAATGATCTCTTTTTTGTTTTGTTTGATTGTAAAAATTGTTTATTCTTTTACTGTGAATATTAATAAGCCGTGTTAGAATTGACTTTATACAAACACTAAAATCATATCCTTTATATATATTGTCTCTTTCAACTTATCTTTCAACCCATATTTGTTAACAAGTTATGAGATTAACCTTTTACGTTTTGTAATCAACTAGCTTCTGTACCGTGCTTCGCAACTAGAAGATGTACTACCACCTAATCCAAACACTTGTTAAAGTAGTTCAAATTTATAAACAAAAAGCCACAAAATTTATAAAAAAAGTATGACCTACATTGATCTGTCTTACTCTTAACATTAAAGTGTATCAATAAAATAATTGTCATAACTTACGGTTATAGAATCTTTCATTAAATCCATAATCAATGGCATAGTTTTAGAAATAATTGTGTAAAATATTTTATTTTATTTGTTTGGATCAGCTGTCTGAAATTTTCAAATAAGCATTCAACAGTTCTGATTGTTTACATTGAAATGTCAACACAAAGGTAAACAAAGGCTGTGAATTTTCTCATGCTCCCATGGAGTCCAATAACTTTTGAAAACCTCACCTAAAAACTTGGACATCCAAGGGGCATGGCCCGAGAAAAACTCAAGGAAGTGAATAGGCCTATGACATTCCTAGATATGTGGACTATTGGTGTGTTTAATTTTGGCTGTATCGGTTTAGTATTTTAGTCATGGCAGCCGCACAAACAAACAGACACCACCTCAATTTTATGATAAAAATATTAGTATGATAATCATCCTTAGCTGTATTTGTGCACAAACATGTATCGATGTATCTAAACATTATTGGATGCCAAATTAAAATAATCGGTATCAGTATTTCGTCACAGACAAAAAAAATCTAAAATATATCTTGCTCAGGATTGAACCATAAACCTTCAGTTTTAAAGATGAACACTTTAAGCCCCAGACTTTATTTTTTAAATTATTTTATTGAAAGGTTGTCTGGTAGTTTGGACAAATCACGTTCACAGCTTGTAAAAAAACATTACTACTGTACTTGTTTAGTGCGATTTATTCATAGCAAATACCTATAAATTTTAAGTTAAATTTTAAATCTTGTTGACTTTTTTCCTTAATATCTATGATGTATATTTTTAATGTAACATTAGAAATTGATACGATTCTGACTTGAATTGTCACAGTAATTAACTCATTATCTTCTAACAGGTGCATTCCTGATTCCTTACTTCGTGATGCTGTGTATCGAAGGTATTCCAATCTTCTATCTAGAGCTGGCGATTGGTCAGAGATTGCGCAAAGGAGCCATAGGAGTCTGGAATCAGGTGACTGCTAACATTTCATTGAATACGGTTACCGTAATTATTGTTTTTCATATTTGTGTACCTTAATAGTATTGTTGACCACTCAGCAATTAAACAATACCCCTAATGAAAAATGATTGGGGTGCAATCTAGTCTACTGGTAGAGTACCTTGGTACTGGTTGATACCTTTGATGTCAGAAGTTTTGGGTTCAAATCCATCCTATCATGAATGGCTTTTCGCTATCTGATAAAGGTAAACCTTATGGGTCAAACCAGTATATTAATCTACGAGGAAAAGATATCCAGTCTTATGTGATTTGGATGGAACTGAACCTCGACCAGTGCCCGCCACTATCGCACTACTGTACTATGTAATCCTAGCAATCTGATAAAACATTGTGACTTACAAACACTTGTAAATAGTAGACATAGATAAAACATACTCGCTTAGTAGATTTCTCATCCTTATAGATCAGCTGAAGAAAATGTGATCGTTAGTTCAGACTGGTGCACTGTAGAGGTCATTTTTTGTTCACAGTTTGTTTCTTATTATTTCAGTCATAAAACCTCGTTTAACCAAACACATGATCTAATCATAAAAAAATTTGGTCAACACTCATCAGTGTCACCATCATGAAACTAGACTCGAAAAACGAGATTCAAAATTTGAAATGAGATGGGAAGTCTACTTGCGTTGGTCTATGATAGTAGATTAAAATGTAATTTTATATTTTAGAGTAAGTAACTCTGAAAATTAGATCAACCAGTGGTGAAATGCACATCAGTGAATGAGGTAACATTGTTAACTTTAAGTCCAGTGTTCATTAAGTATCCAGTGATTACAAATTTAAAAATCATTTTTCTATAAAACTTTCATTGATGGTTTTGCCAGGTATCGCCGTATCTCGCTGGGATTGGTATCAGCAGTGCTGTGGTTTCATTCAACGTTGCTCTCTACTATAACACCATTATTGCGTGGTGCCTCTTTTATTTTGTCCAGGTATGGTTTGCTATTATGACAAATATAAACTTCTTTTAGATTAGCCTAGGCCTATGATAATTCTCTTAACTTATTCTCAGTGTAGTGTAGTCAGTGTTTCAAATGCAACTATCACAACGCAATGCTCACTTAACACTTACATGTTTGGATTTCACATTAAAGGTAATATAGACTAAAGTAAGATTCAAGAGTTAATGGCATAAAGATAGATAACACATACTAGAGAGAGGATAATTGAGACGTTTTAACAACATAGATACACAAAAACTTCATGGATGTTTCATCAGTATACATCCATCAATAAGTTTAATGCAACGATATCAACACAAGGCTGTTACTGAATTTGCGAATTGTAGGGATTATGTAGGCCTACTCGATTGGCGCTTTTGTTAATCAAGTTGGATCTCATCATATACTAACAAACAACAAATATTCTTCTCATCCCATTTTGTTTATGTTATTTTAGGGTTAATTTCATGATTAACAATAAAATTGGCTCCATGAGCTGTTCCATAAAGCCAAAGTCAATGGTTATACAGTAGTAATAGCTGTTTAGAACACTTTTTGCAGTGAATGAAAATATTGTGATTACATATTACGTCTAATCAAATATTTTCAGCTGACTTAGGCCTACTATAGAATTTCTATAAATTCTGAAAAAAAAAAACATATATTTGCAAGTATGAATTTCAATAAAGTTTTATATTTTTTAGTTACATTATCGTTTATAAAAACTGTATATACTTATGATTATGAACCAAAATTGGGTTTATGTATGGTTTATTAGTAAATAAGACTGATTACCATACTATTAAAAATCTTCCCCATTTTAATGTAATCAAGTGTTATTTTAAAAATTCATGTTGATAATATTTTTTTACTATTCCAGAGTTTCCAATCTGAATTGCCTTGGTCGGAATGTCCGAACAAATATTTTGAAAACGGAACGTATCTTCCTGAGCCTGAATGTGTGGTAAGTAACTTTTCTACAGTTTTACTTGATGAATTGATACCGTTGAAGTAAAAAAAATCATAGTTCATTTGTCAAAACAAACGGAAATATTATAGATAAGTATAGACTCACATCAATTAGCTTAATTTACTAACATAACATCCAAATACAATTTTGAAACAAATATTCTCAAACGGTCCTCCAATAATAACAATAATAATATTCTTTACAAATAAGAATGTAGACAAAGGAGTTATTTCCAATCTTATTGTATCACCTGTAGTCGACTAGTAGCTGTGAAATAAGCTGTGCAATGAAGCTAGATCACAAAAATTGACAAACATGTTTCCTTGGAGCCAAAAGGAACGTGGATTGATTTAAAGATGAATGACTTAAAAGATAAATGCTAAAGTGTTGTTTGAAGCCTTTTAGACTAGATTAGATTGACGCTAAAACACCAGGGTGCAAAGTGAGTGTTGAATTAGATAACAGCTTTGTTGCTGAAAAAGATCTGCAGGTTATTTTATCAGGGTCATTTATTGAAATCCCATTGACAGGTGACTAGGGGTACGGAATAACCTCCAGTAAAGGGGATCTGGACATTTTTAAAAATGTAGGTACAAAATTGCTAGTTTAAACATTTTTGTACCTAAATATTTGCTTTGTTAATGTATTGCTTTTCTGCATCGTTTTAATTTTTTTTACATAATTAGTGCTGTGATGGCCACTGGTACCCATCGGCCAAAATTTCTGTGCGTGTGGATGGGTCGCTACTAGCCAAATTAAAAAATACGGGAACCAGCTATTGACAGTGCTGGGGGTAGGGGTGAGTGAGTAGCAAAAAACAAATGTTTTCACAAAAGTACCCCCGCCAACCCCCTTGCCTAGACCCAACCAGATCTGGATGCGCACAGAAACTTTGCTCGAACTGTACCCCAAAGAGGTACTTTTGGCCTTCCCAACAAAATGCCTCCATCTCTTTCTCTCGCCTCTTCCTTCCTTCCCAGTCTCCTTAGGTCCTTTTCTACTTAGTCCCAGTTTCAAGCCAATAAAAATATGTTGACTCTTCTCAGGATCATCTGTCAACTTATTCATTTCTAGACAAGCACTATATCCACTCAACTGACGAGCTATACTAACTTCTAATGTAAAAAGCTTAATATTTCTTACAGGCAAGCACACCGACCCAGTATTTCTGGTATCGCACAACACTCATGGTCTCGGAGGATATAGACCATCCTCGGGCCTTCAACTGGAAGATCGCATTTGCTCTCGTCATAGCTTGGATTCTTGTATACATGTGCATGATCAAAGGAATCGCTTCTTCAGGCAAGGTAAGTTTGTCTGTTGCAGTTAAAATACTCTGTTTCTGATAGATCTTTTCTCTTCAAACATGGAAAAAAATTGTTGCTATTTTTGTTTTATCTTTCTCATGTTGTTTCTCATGTGATTTGGAAATTTAAAGGTATGTTTGTGTCTAGGATATGTATGTCTGCTATTTACTTCTTGTTGTTTAAACAACTTGGACTTAGACACTATAATTTTTTAATATCAATCGAAATGTTATACATATTTGTTGATGTTGCATATTCTAGTAGTATGGTATATGGCTAATGAGTTATACAGTATCTACACTTGCGGTTATATTTACCCAATCACAAGAGAAAACACTTAGCACACTCTAACTCATGCCTGGCACAAAGCACTAATACAAAACAGCCTTCAGATTTCAAAAACTGCAGTAGGTACTCAATCAAATTTATAAGCAACAATTAAGTGTTCAATATATTTTATTCAAGATAATCTTTATAATTTATGAACTCTTATCCCTTGTGGTACTCACATGTTTAACTTGTCTCAATTTTACTTTTCATTTCAGGTTGTTTACGTAACAGCAACTTTCCCCTACATTGTGCTGATAATATTTTTCTTCCGTGGTGTAACATTACACGGGATGTCTGATGGGTTACGACATTTATTTACTCCAAAGGTAACTTAATTTTTAAGTCATCACCTTCATAGAAAACTTGTTTAGCTAATAATAGTTAATTTTTTGTACCAACACGACAATGATGTTAAAAGCCTATTAAGCTGGGTTTTCCTAGGCACGGAAGTGGAGCGCGGAGAGAGGAACACAGAGTGCGGACTCCTCTTGTCTTAGGCAACTTATATTTAGGCCTACTGCTTTCCTAGAAGCGGAGCGGAATGCCATGTTACTCGCTTTTTCACTCTCCGGCCTCCGCTCTCCGCACACCTCTTCCCCGTCTAGGAAAACCCGGCTTTATATAAGTCGAAGAATTTATTGGTCATTGGTAATCATAGTGCTAAGTTATTTTACTTAAACTCAAGTTTAATTGTTAATACCATATTACAAACTAAGCTGGAGATGATAAGGAGCATATTTCCCCAAAATATGAGTTTAACAAGGTAAATTGCCTTGTGTAGCTTTGTTGATGACTGAGACCAGCTATTTCTAAGCTAAAGCTGTTTTTCTGAAGAGTGGTTATAATGATCGCCTAGTAGGACCAAATGGAGGTGTTGTAGGATACCAACTAATTCCTTCGATAAATAAATAGCTGCTTTATTATCTAAACTGGATGAAGTTGTTCTTCATCATACTGCATTTTAATAAATGATCCCACCTAAATAAACAGATGGTCACAGTCAGTGGCAAAGCTGCTCAAGGCATCTCATTCCATTTTACACATAATGTGTTAGTATCATAGTTATTTGACCCTTGGTCATCATGGTTAAATCCTGAACCCATTTTATTCCAGTGCTTTAAAGCAGCAACATCTATTCAAATACGTATAATCTGAGTTTTATTAACACTTGAATAATAAAACATAAATATTTTTGATCACATGTTTTTCGTGATTTTCATGGTCAGTTGTTATAATAAGTTTAGAATACCAAATACGGTACAGTGTGTCATCAAATGTGGAAAACAACAAATAATTATAAATAAATAGCACATAAGCAGTTGACGTGGTTCCCTCATATCTATTATGCTAACCAAGCAGTTCTCCAGGAAAGCTTCACTTATTGACTGTGCAACTTAGTTTGAGTGTTATGTATTAGTTGCTCTATATGTACCTATTGGACAGATAATCCGTCCATCCTCAACTAATCTAATGATTACACATATCTACAATGTAGGTATATCAGGTATATGTAGGTGTATCACATATATTTCCATGTAATCAGTTCTAATCTCTCATGTATAACAGTGGTACACCCTCTCAGACCCCGTGGTATGGTTGGAGGCCGGGACGCAGATTTTCTTCTCACTCGGTCTTGCGTTCGGAGGTTTGATAGCTTTCTCGTCTTACAACCCTGTCAACAACAACTGCTACAGAGATGCAATAATGGTGTCTATGACTAACTGCTTCACATCTATGTTTGCTGGCATCGTCGTCTTCTCTGTCATCGGTGAGTGTATGCTGATTCTTCACCAGTAGGGTACTTTAGGTTGTATTGTGAAAAGATTGTAAGAAATAAATGATATCCTATTTGTTTTGGCTTGTAGGGGTGAAATTATTATAAAATAGAATGGGACCTTACGTCACATATTGTGAATTGTAAATATAAATTAGAAAACAGTGTAAATTAAATACCTTGAACTTCCATGATTGAATATGTGTAGATATCTAACATTGTTCTCAGGATTCAAGGCTACGCTGAACTATGAGCGCTGTCTGGAGGAGAGGAATGCAACAATCTTTGCGACGTTCGGTCACACAAACGTCGACCTATCCCGGCTGCCGACTGAGGGCTCGGCTGTCGCATTGATGGGCGACGTCGTCACAACAATGCCACCCTTGCCAGAGTGCGACTTGGAGAAAGAGCTGGACAGTGTGAGTCGAATAAAACAAAGATTCTACAAACACAAGTTGCAATGTTAGCCTGTTTTGTTGTGAAAATGTATTCCTATAAATAAATACAACAGGCAGTATTAATATTATAGGAGCTAGGAAGAGCATTTATTTCAAATGCCTTAAAAACGGTCCATACCATCAGTGATGCTATACTTACATTGTTTGTAACAATTAACATTGTTAACAATGTTAACATTTGTTTACATTGTTTGTTTGGATATATATACTGTTTTAATTTACACTAGTAGCATTTTAAACATATTTCTCTTGCAACTGTCCATGCTCTGATTCACTGTATAATGTTTATCTGATGTTGACAACTAAGCATCATTCATTATTGGCTTGGTGACATAAATTGCAACTAATTGTAGAATCTATTCTTTTTAGAATTGAACCAGTAAACCTTTGATTTGAAGGTTTTGTAAATAAAATACAAATTCAAATTTAGGATTATAATGTTGAAAAAGGGAGTAGAGGATAGATCATTACTACCAACCAGAGATCAGAGATATATATTCATAAAAACTTCATACATTCATAAAAACAATTAAACTTTACGGTACTGCAAGTTTCACCCAATGAATTTTTATTCCATTCAACTGTTTGGGAAGACCCAATAAAGAGCTAATTTCAATGTAAACCACTGGTTGGTTTAGTTAAAACAGACTCTCAAACTTTATTTTTTGTAATAAAATACAACAGTGATCATTTGTGTGTTTCACTTCTGATTTCAGTCAGCTGCCGGCACAGGATTGGCTTTCATCATCTTTACCGAAGCCATCAACCAGTTTCCAGGAGCTCAGTTCTGGTCGGTTCTGTTCTTCCTCATGCTGTTCACTCTGGGAATCGACTCCCAATTTGGGACTCTAGAAGGCGTTGTCACTTCTATAGTAGACATGAAGCTGTTTCCCAACCTCAGGAAAGAAATATTAACAGGTAAGTCAAGCTTTGTTAATTCCTTTACAATTTGTCCCTTAACATTTGAACAGGAACATTACAAACAGGAAGTTGCAATAGTTAAAGTCAGGGTATGGTAGGTTGGGGGAATAGGGGAAATCCTAAGTAGTTTAACTGTAAAAGAGAGTATGTTTAACCTATGGCAATACTTAGAAAATCCATATTGATTTCAATGAATATAAGAAATGTAAACCATAAATATTACTCTGATTCCCTTTTTCTTTTGCTTTTTTTCAGGGGTGATGTGTTTGATATGCTGTGTTATATCAATGAGTTTTGCCCACGGAGCTGGAAATTACGTCTTCATCCTCTTCGACAACTTCAGTGGCAACTTTCCACTTCTGATAATCGCCTTCTTTGAGTGTATAGCTGTTTCATACGTTTATGGCCTCAAGAGGTAAATTTAATCATAAAACATGTAAAGTGTTCAAAGGTGAAAGATAATCATATATTACTCTGTTTTCTCGGTTTAATTAAAATGTTAAATGCAATATTGGTAATAAGTAAATGTATTATGACTTTTTTTGTAGGCTATATATAGGCCCTAACTATGCGGGTTAAACAACGCATATATTTCTCTTTTATAAAATATTGCCATGTTTATTTTTCAGTTTATTTTTAACACTTGCCTTTTTAACTTTCTTCTTCTACTGAGGAAAAATATACAACTGTAATCGCTATGTTTATAAGTTTAGAAATTGGCTAAGGAATTCCTAGTCGTAAACAACTTTACAATAAGGTTTTTGAGACTTTTTAAAGTGTTATCTCCAGAGGACAGCTAGCACACTGCAGAGGATAGTAGTGAATTAAACCGCTGAATACTTCATTATATCAAAGTGTTTTAACACTGTTTCCTTGAACAAGATCACAATGAATATTATAAATTTATTTTGATTTTACTAACAACTTTGATGAGTCTAGAGTATCCTCTGATGATGTTGCAGGTTTGCTGATGACATAGAACTGATGACAGGGACTCGGCCAGGCTGGTACTGGCTGTTGTGCTGGAAGTATCTCTCTCCCTTGGCTATGCTGCTGATCCTTATAGCCAGCATCACGGAAATCATAGTCAACGGCAGCGGGTATAACTTAATCATATGTTTTTCATTGTAGTTGTTAGCCTCCGGATTGCCAAATAATATTAGAAAAGGTTTAAATACCTGCTATTAAGCAATCCAATTTTGTTGTTAGCACAACTAGTTTCGGTGTCTGTGTCTGTGCGACACCATCATCAGGCTGCACAAGGACAGTTATCTTTCTTCATACGAAGAGCGTCATATTTACACAAAAAAAATAAATAAACATTTAAACAAACACGAATACGAGACATTTATGGTAACTGATCAGTTAAGAAAACAGACGACGCTAACCCGGCGGAGTTTGAGTCCAGACTGAGAACTATCCTTGTGCAGCCTGATGATTGTGTCACACAGACACAGACACCGAAACTAGTTGTGCTAACAACAAAATTGGATTGCTTAGTAGCAGCATTATAGCATCAGGTATTTAAACCTTTTCTAATATGTTTTTCATTGTTGACAAATTATTTTTTACATCTGCTCCATACCATCTATGCATCCTTGATATAGAAAAATAAGGCATAAGTATTTGTTTTGATTTGCTTGTTATTGTTTTTATAATTTGTTCTGAATAGTGAAATGGCGTTTTCAATCTGGGTGACGTCTGCATATGATGGGAATATCACACCTACGTTTTTTCATTCCACCACCCACTGGTAGTAATAGTAGTTGTAACTTTATTTATGTGCAACATTTCACTGTGCTTCAGTCACTTCATGTATGAGGAAGGTTATCACTGTTTGCTAGATACCCCGCGTGGGTCGCCAGTAAGGGTGTAACGGAGACACGGGAGTGGCCAGTGTGGGCGCTGCTGCTTATCGGATGTCTTGTGTTGGCAGCTGTGCTGTGGATCCCGGGAGTCGCCATCTGTAGGTCAGTACCCATGTAGCACAGATGGTTGGGCCAACGTTGGTAAATTGTGGAGCCACACAGTTGGCCAACGGTAGAAATGTCACCTCTTTAAACTGTTTTCCAGCCAACCTTTGTCCAACAATGGCCCAACCAAAATTATTTCACACAAAATAATAAAGATTTAGTACGAAAAGCATAATTATTAGTTGAGTAAATTGATTAATAGTTCATAAAAACAAATTTAAAAAAAAGCTGGAACAAAATTTTTTGGCCCAGACGGGTCTCGAACCCGGGTCCTTCGACTTATAAGCCTCTTACCTTACCACTGAGCTATCTGTGATTGTTGATACAGAGAGTTTTCAAGTGGTGAAAGAGTAGCCGACAGTTGCAATGGTCGCAATACTTCAAACATTTTTGATACTACACAGTATAATATGATTCTGTTAATCTGTTAAGGCATCATAAGTAGTTATTTTTTTTTTGGAGTTAGAGAGGATACTGGTATTTGAATATAGATTAATTAATTACCGTTAGATTATTAATGCTATTATAATTGACTGTTATATGATTAATTACTCTTTCCCCTTAAATTGTTGCAAATAAGTTAAAGAATATTAATTTAAAAAATATTTGCATTATTATAATTATTAAAATTCATTGTTGTAGCCCCGGAACTGTAATATGTAAAATATCTGGTTTTACAATACCTTTATCAGTTCCAAAAACTTTTGGAAACTTTTGGAACTGATAAAGGTATTGTAAAACCAGATATTTTATTATAATTATGTTGTGAAAGCTAGACCCAGAGAATGAAAGTCGTGTAAACTCAACTATGGACCATCGTTGGTCCAACAAAAGTATCTTTTGTTGGTCCAACGGAGTGAAAAACGGTTGGACAACGGTTGGCTTGATGTATGATACCCAACAATGCATATTAATGTATTTCATTAACAATGAACCGATGTTGGTCCACAGTTGTAAATATTGGTTGGCCCAACTACGAGATATACAGTTGGACAACGGTTGGTTGGTTGTGGAAGCTCCAACCAACCATCGACCAACTGTCCCACAGTTGGCCAACGTTGGCCCAACCATCTGTGCTACATGGGTAACAACATTGGGGCATTCAGAGTGTGATTAACCTTTTTTGTAGCAATTCTTGTACTTTCATTGTTTGTCCCTCTATTCTAACTGCGTTTGAATGTCAAGAGAATTTCTTAAAACCTAACCATCATGAAATTTTTGCAATATGTAGTCACCAATGGATTAAAAAAAAATGTGATAATACCGCAACCCCTAGGTCCAGCCTGAAGTAATGTGAAAAACAATTCCGGGCTCAAGCAATAATTGTTGAGGACAAAAAAATGTTATATTTTTAAATTTTAATCTAAGAATTAAAATGTGGACATAAAACCTTATTTGGATTTTTTGTACATTACATAAGCTTTCTGATATTCAAATATTTGTGGACCATCGACCTTTGAAAACTGAAGTAGACAACCATCTTCATGGATCAGCTGGAGCCGATTACTAATTAAAATAGAATGTACCTGAATGAATGAGCCAGTATAACGAAGTGTACCAGTGTCAAAATTATCTTTTCTCCCTTAGTTTTTGATAATATTATGGGTGATGTGACTTAAAATTATGTTATAAATTACAGTAGAGGTGTATATTCAGTTTTCCTTGGTCAAAAAGTTGTTGTATTCAACAGAAATAGTTTAATTGAAATCAGAAACTCTGTCGTTGGCTCAATTCAACTACTTCCATTTCACTCTAAAACTAGCCATATTTTTAACATGAGACTGTGCTGTCTTTTTTTATCTATAGTCTACTTTATACATAATGACAACTAAACAAATCTTGACTGTTCCAGAGCTTTTGGGATAGTAATAATAGACGACAACGAGAAAGCCTGGTTTCCAGCACAAGACTTGAAAGAATTCCACGGGATCGTGGAACACCGAGTTACTGCAGCGGAGACTTTATTATTCTGCATTCGTGAGGATGGGACGGAAGGGTTGTGTTGCCCAACGGGTGCGTCAGACGATGATGACGACGACGAGTCTTAGTCTGTCTCCACAACTGCATCCCACGGTCATGTCCAATGGTGCTAAGAACGACAGAAATGATCAACAATGCTTCATCCACTGTAACGTAGGCCTTAAATAACCTGATTGAGTCGGAAAGGTCAGAGAGAAAAGTGATATTGATGTTCCACAAGTTTTTAAATGATATATTTTTTCAGTTTCTTGTTTGTTTACATTTAGCTGTTAGGAAAACATTTATTATTTCCAAATCAAAGTCTGGAAAAAACTTTTCAATATTGGTAGTTCAGGGTTAATTTTCAGATGATAAGCCAAACACGGCTGTTGCAGACAGACGACTTGCGTTATCTTATCCCAACAGTAGCCACAGGCTTGTCCATGCGCCGTGTAACGTAATGGTATTTCATTGTCTTTAAACCACCGTATAAGATTATGAGTGTTTATTTTATTTTCCACAAGTCTCTGATTAATTCTCTTAAACATTTCATTTTTACTGAAAACATCATTGTGATTTTTCACTCTGTCCTTTCAATATCTTACACACTTTGGAAAAAATATTATGTACCGTATATCAACAATTTAAAATTTAAAACAGCTATACCGGTACATTGACAATGATAAGTAATATATCGATGACATAACTATAATCCTCCCCGTCCAAAAAGTTCATTGTAGATCATTTCAAGGATGTTCCGTGAGTTTTACGATCAATGTGTATTCATGCCATTCAAGTTTGCAATAAAATAATCCACATTGATGTAATCATGAGTCAGACCACCTTGAGATGCTAATTTGTTAATGTAGGTTGGCTTTTAGATCCTCCTGTAAAATATTGTTGTAGAAAGTCCAGACAATACTGAGATCAGGTATGTTTGTTGAAAGCATAAGTATGCTTCTCTCTTGCCTTCTGTAAGAATAGGTTAACTGTAATAATAGTTGGGTTTGTGACAGAAGGTTGCGCCAATATTATTTTCTTAAACCGGTTTACAAGTTTTTTTTATTGAATTGAAGCAATAATTAAACAAATTTTACAAAGCAATGGAACATAATATTTGATTACTTGACCTTTTACACTATTGGTAAAATGGTCAATAGTTTGATTTGGAAAAAACTCCATACTATAAGGAAAAAATAGGAACTTTCAACAAGACGTTAAACTATTATTAAAGTAGTTCTTTTACACGTCATTCCACCAAATTGATTTCCCACTAATATTTACAGTTTATATTTAGATTATTTCACTACTAGTCCTGAAAGTGACCCATTTTGGGGAAAGATAGTGGTTTACCAGCGAGGCAAAGCCAAGTGCGTAAACAACTATTGAGCCCCGGAATGAATTTTACATGACGAGTAGTGAGCAATATTTTTCATATTATTCAATTGTCTCGTAATTCTGTTTAAATCTGTCATAGCATATAGTCCAGTCAAGGAATGAGGTGTAGAGTGCGTGAGCAGGTAACTAAGCGATTCCTTCAGAAACTTGTTCAGGGGGCTTAAGGTGTTAACATACCAAAAGTCCTGACTCCTAGGTGGTGAGCCAGGGGGTGGAGGGGGGAAAAAGGGGAGGAGAAAGGTACGCATTTTGGGTTTTTGGATTATATCTCGAAAACTATCAACTTTTTGTATACTATAGTAAATTATAAAATTGAAGAAGATTAAATTTTCTACAAGAAAAGTATATAATGTGTTTATTTTGGTTCAACAGATTACGAGTTATAATATTATTTAATTGATATCTTATTAAAATCTCCTTCCATAAGAAATACATGTAAATTAGTATGCGAAATGGGGCGAATCCTATCCGCCCAAAGGAAATATAAATGATATTCTGGAAATCTTGACAAAATTTCCAGTAATTTGACACTTTAATCATTAAAATTGATCCAAAATTAAGGCGAGGGCGAGGTAACAAAATGTCGAGTTTTGGTGTTTTTTTATTGGAAATATAAAAAAAACCTTAAATCATCCCATTTTTAAACGCTCACCCTCGCTTTAATTTTTGACGAAATTTCATGATTAAAGTGTCAAATTACTGGAAATGTTGTCAAGATTTCCAGAATATCAGTTATATTTGCTTTGGGCGGATAAGATTCGCCCCATTTCGCATACTAATTTACATGTATTTCTTATGGAAGGAGTATTTTAATAAGATATCAATTAAATAAGTTATAACTCGTAATCTGTTGAACCAAAATAAACACATTATATACTTTTCTTGTAGAAAATTTAATCTTCTTCAATTTTATAATTTACTATAGTATACAAAAAGTTGATAGTTTTCGAGATATAATCAAAAAACCTAAAATGCGTACCTTTTCCCCCCCTTTTTCCCCCCTCCACCCCCTGGCTCACCACCTAGGAGTCAGGACTTTTGGTATGTTAACACCCTATGCCCCCTGAACAAGTTTCTGAAGGAATCGCTTAGTTACCTGCTCACGCACTCTACACATACTTTTGGATCATTCATTGACTGGACTAATAGGTTTACAATTTATTTAAAAGTCAGCTGTTTAACAAATATTTTTCGTAATAAAATAATGCATAAAATTAGTGCTCTTCTTGAGCTAAACGGACATTTTGTTTGTTTGGGCAAGGATAATTAATTAATGTTTAAGACTGGCAAAATCATATGTTTTGCCAGATTGGATATCAATGATTTTTGGATAGCTTTTGGATACGGAAATGAGTTATTTTCATAATCAGAGTGATGAAAATAGTATATTACGTTACTAGTCTTGAAAATAGGTGTTTACCGGACGAGTGTGGTCGTTCCCGTGCGAGACGAAGTCGAGTACGGGACTACCATAAGAGTCCGGTAAACACATTTTGGACGAGTTACGTACGATAGTTTACGCCATACTACTAAATCTGTACAAAACCTTACACATTACCACCAACTAAAGGACTAAAAATCACTAGTCATAACCTTTAAGAGAGGTTATGTTTTTGTTTATAACCACTCGTTGTCACCCATGCAGTATAATCAGCTGATTGGTGTCCGGTAAAACTCATTACAGTACAGTGTAGTACGCAATGAACCCCCATTTGATTAAGCTGGCGGCAAATAGCTGTTTTCTGGACTAAATCCTTGCATGGGAAGTTTGTCAAAATAGTTTAGTGTGGCGTAAAAACATATTTTTAAAAATTATAGAGAATTTATAGATTTTGAATTACACCCCTTCTTGACATATCATACATTAGTAGTAAACAAACCAAATAGCTGGAAACTGCTCTGAACGTTTTGCAATAAGATAAACAAGAATGAAATCCAGTGCATTCCAGTCTTAGGAGTTTTGATTCTATAGTTTCATCAAACCGCTTTTAAGATAAGCTTACGGTATTGTCTGCATCCTGTCACAAACCCTTAAGTAGGGAGTGTTGTTACTTAGAGGTCAATAACTTAGACACATAATAACTTAACCAGAAGTACTTAGTTTCTGACTAATAAAAAATGTGTAAATAACATTAAGGAAATATTTAACGAGATACTTGCCTTTACACCATCCCATCCACATATTACATCCGGCCTAATAAAAATAAAAAGAGTTTTCAATTTTCCAAAATATTTTGCTTGCAGGGGTAAAGTGTGTCTGACAATGTAATATTGAAAATGAAAAGTATTAATTAAGTAAGTGTTTAATAATGTTGATCGTCAATGTAAAAAATGAAGTGGCACTAAGGTTATAGTGAGGGCCATTTCAAACGATTTCTTTATACCTCATTTGTCATTTAATAACATTTTAAAATGTTACTTGACTACAAATTGGCGAGTCGGTGGCTCAGTCAGTAGCGCCATGGACTGGCCAAAGGCAGCGATGTTGTGGGTTCGGATCCTGGAACCTGCACTACTTTTTATCAATACACTTCACCCTTGTTGTGTACCGGCTCACCTTTTGCTTTGCTGATTTTGTTCCACGCACATATTCATAGTGTATGTGGATAGGCAAATGCAAGGTTAAAAGAGAATAACCTCTTAAAAAATGTTTAAATGTGAAACTCATAAGTGGATCCAAGGGTTTGTTTCTAGTCAAGAACCGAATCGGTACGTGATATTTCATTGTTGTTTTCAAACATCACACATCAATTTTCTTGTTTAGGGTTTTAGTTTTAGTAAAGCCCAAAACAATCATTAGGTTTGCAAAGTAGTCATTACTTATAAACAAAAACATCAGAAACTAGTTTTTCATGTTGAAACATTTTGCTGTTAGCTATTTATTAGGACTTGTAATGGTAATGTGGTTGAATTAACCTGGTCTTAATCCCTGACAAGGATACAAAAACCATCTCATGCTTTTCATGAAAAATGATTACCCTCAAACTCAAGCAAATCATAAAATGATAATTTAAACACTTTTTTCCCAAGAAACCATTGGAAATGGCCAATATGAGGGTTAGACAAAGAAGTGCCTAGGGTTAAGTCTGTCAATAAATATAGCACATTTTCTATCTCTGCACTCCGTAATTACTCAACGCCGAGCAATAATACACTTAAGGACTGGAAAATTAGCAAAGAACACCTGTACATGCACTAAGTTTCACGTTACAACGATTTATATACGTTCACGACGATTATTGTTTAAAATATATCATCGAAACGCATAGTGGCCTCTAGAATATCAGTTTAAATCTTTACTCCAAGGTTTATTTATTGTGATAAGTGGTTGTTACACATGTAAATGTATCTCTATGGAGTGTACTTGTAGTACTTCTCATTGATGTGTTCCATGTTCGATTAAATGTGATTCAAATTTCTTTTAGTTTTAAAAGCACAAAGTTATATGCACATCTCATAATGTAATTCAGTACAATAATTACATGACTGTAACTTTTTTACTGTTGCACGTTTTATCCTTTTAAATATTATAGAAATGTATTTTATTTATAGATGAATAATATGTATTTCTTCTATAGACTTTTATCTGTATTATACTGATGTATGAATCAGACTAAGTACATTCAAAGGGCTGCTGGAATGTTTATGTCAGTTTATAAAACCTGTTGAGCACAGACACCTGTCTGAGATGTTGTTAGGGAACATTATTATGGATGAAATTTGCAAGTATTATTACAATGTTTACAATACTAATAAATTACAACCTTAAGATTAAAGTGTTGTACATATATCATCACAACTAAATTCACTTGTATTTCTTTATTGATATTGTTATTCTTATGATTACCTCATTCAGAAATCAGAAGTTTTATTTAATAATTAACTCATATTTTAGGCTCCACATTACAATTAAATTGCACAATTACATTACATCTACACATTACAATAAGAGACAAAATGAAAGTAATATAAAACAATCTGATTGGGTTTATCGTCTAGTAGATTCATACATTCTTATGAGGGGGACAAACAAAATAGATCTATAATATAAGTTAGTATTATGGTGTAAACAATATTTATTTATATTTGATATAAAAACAAAGCTCTAGAGCAATTCATGTGGTAACCACACGTAAATTAAATATACTTTTGTGTTGGTTGGTCTATGAAAATAAGCA